AAATCAAGTTTTGCCACAGCAGGATCAAATGAAAACATTTTTCTGCTGCTTGAGATTAAAAGTTAAGAATGACAGTATCGGGCTGAAATTATAAATCCAACAATACTGTCACATCTTTGGTATTTTTAAAAATAAGTCCCGTTCTGAGCACGTCTCCACATTCAAATCCCATTAAAGAGAGTATAAAACAAAACAATGGATTTTCTATTAGTTAGTTTTGATTTAGAGTAGGTTACATATTTTCTGAAAGCCACAGTATGTTGTGAACAGAAATGACATCTGACATCAATGGAACTGCTGCAAACCGTAAAGCTAAAACACTTCATTAAACTAAACGCCAAAGGTTGCAGCGTAACGTAAGATATGTTTCATTACATGTCTTTTAGATCTGATTCAAACATCTACTGATACTGTAATGAAGAACCTGGATCAGATCAATATTGAATCAATCTGAACAGCTGTATTCCTAAAATAGTATCCTTCTGGTATTTTATTTTCCCCCGCGCATAAAAAAACAAAACAATGCCACTCACAAAAATGAACAAGCAAAGGAAATGACGCTGTGTCGAGCCCTGTGTGGTCCAGCCTCTGGTTCTGCAGCACAAATCACGCAGGCAAAAGTGAATTTGGACCAGAAAGGCTATGATTAAAAACTGGCTGCTGTGATTATGTTGTTGGCACAGTCTATAACAAATGAGGTAGATGTGTGTTCATTATATATTCCCTTCTTTGGTAAAACAATACACAATAGAAAAAAATCCAGTGATTTGTTGAAAAAAACATTTTCAAGTGGCTTCACAATAAAAATAATAGAAATGAAATAAATGAGGTATATCTTGTTTTTATAATCTATTATCTGTGTACAGGTTTGCAGGATTTGTGAGGTATTGGGCTATAATGTGACTTTTTTTTCTTAAAAAAACAACAACAACATAAAAAGCGATGTTGCTGAAAGCACTGAAACAGCCCAAGTTTCAACATGAAAGGAAGAGAATAGAAGTAATAATAAATACAACTTGAAATAGTCTACTGAATTCTAAAAAAAAATGACACAATAATATCCTCCCATTTCCTTACCGACAGAAAAGAGAAGAAAAAGAAATAAACAAGAGTGTGAGCAAAACAAATTAAATAAAGGAGAATGGAATAAAGGACGAGAGGTGACCTCTCAAATGCAAGTGCATTGTTGAAAACTTGATGAAAATTGGATTCTATTCACAAGAGATCTCACCTCATGAACTGATGCCTAAGATGAGCCACATTCAGCCTGTTCACGGCACATAATCTTCTTCTCAAGAGCCTCTCTTTTCTGGCTGAAATACATTTTTTTATGATCAACGTCCAGCTCACAGTCACACGTCACAATATCATTTGACCCTCGACTTCTGAAACCTGTATTAACCAGTGTGACCCATTTTTCCGTCTACTAAACCATTTAATGAACACTTAAATCTCTTTGCTATAAAACACGAGCTGAGGTGGTGGAAAATCATTGAACACTGTCGACAAGTGTTACCAAAATAACTCACTAATCAATGGAATATATTTCGCCCCGGCCGCGGGCCAAAACCTTCTCATGAGAAGAGAATATAGTAGACATAATCCTGTCAGCTTTCCTCAATATCAAGCTATACATGACCAATCTTGCACATTTGGCAAGAATTATGATTCTCCCAGTCCTTTAAAGATTATGTAGATGACTGCTTCGATGGATATAATGATATATTTTCTTTACAAACATATATTTAAGCAGTAATACAGTAAATAACTGTTTCTCCCTGACTATTTGATGCCCAAGTTAAATGGGATGTGCTTTGCTTAAAATCAAGATATTAAAATTCCAGCTTGACAATTCATTCATTTTCATTTCAACTTTCTGAGAATTTACAGTGGCATCAGATGTGTGATGGTGGTGATAAAACTCTGCATTAATTATTGTAGCATTATCAAATAAACCACTTGCTCTCGTTCTCTTTGGTTCTAGCTGATAGTAGCTCTTGTTGTTTGATTCAAGAACGCAACAAGTAAAGATAAAGATGCCAAACCGTCAGGATCTGTGTAGGAAAGTGAAGAATCTTGCTTTGATGCAACATGATGTTCATGTCATTGTCGCGCAGTAAGCTCCACACTGAATAATGCATCCTCATAAGAACAAAATTACAAGCTGCAACTTGCTGCATATGTAAATGTAGCACACTTCAAATCAGCTGTTGGTGCTCAGCCTTTTTTTTTAATGGAAGTTTTTTTTGATGACGGACGCTCCTGTCCTGATTGCAGGGGGAGGGTTAGAAAAACGGGAAAAAGTGTACATTGTACATTGTACCATTGAAGGAGACAGAAAAAACCGGTCCAACAGAATGACCTAAAGACCCTGCCTTATCTGATGTCGGGGGGGGAGTTGAGTGAGGTGTTGTGGGCCAGGGAGAAGCTCAAGGGGAGGTGGCTGGTCCGTGTGAGGAGGAGGAAGAGGAGGACGGCTGCATCTGGGTGCTGAGCCCTGGGCTGCTGCTCTTTCCCTGTGAGCTGTGTTGGTGATGGACTCGCTGGCTGCCTGGCATGAAACCTATGGCTGGCTTACGGGCAAACAGGACCCCTGGAGTCAGAAGACACATATTTAAAGCTTATGAACACCCAAAACACCACTACATAACACAACACCAGCGGTTCAGTCACTGAATCAGTTTGTATATATTTATTAAAAACATTTAAGTGCAATTAAAAATATTCTTATGCAATAAATATTATGATTATAGATAATTTCATGCAATAATTATATCACAGTCAATAGTAATATAAATAATAACATAATCAAAAAAACAAAAACAAGTTCAACTATGTTTTGTATGTGATCAACACCCCCTTGCGCAAGCCGTCCCTATATTTTGGTGACTTTTTTTCATTTGCACAAAACCGGAGGATGCAGTACCCGAAATACCTGATGTCTGTATATTGATTAAGTATCTGAATTTTGTTAAAATCCACATGAAAAATGTGAAGATGCTGACTAAAGAAACACTAAGATTTTGAAAGGATATGAAGAGAGTTAATTTGCGTGAAATTCTCGTAAATCAAATGAATCACATATATCTAAAATTTCCGGAGAATATCTTCCGAATCTAGGATAATTTCAGACATGATAGGATTGTGGAAGGCGACTAAATCATAATCATTCAAGCAAATCATAGGCATTTTCATGCTTTTGAACAGAAGCCTGTCACTGGCAATTCCCTTCATTCACTTCTATTCATTTCTGCTCTGTCTCTTTTTACACACAAAAATGCATCCTGTGCAAACTGCCCCTTTCTCATTCTGTGCTACTACTCGGTGTGACTTGGCAAGGACGTGATTAAATACATTTTTGTTTATATATTTTATTTTAGGTTTTTAACATAAAGCAAAGAGTATGAAGAACAAAGCAAGTAAATTCATATTTTTTTTTTTTTACGATTTCTTATATAATTAATTACGCTAAACTAAAGCATTAAATCATCCTCCTAGAAAAAACCTTCAAAGCTCTATGTTCTAGGGCTCTACAACTTTACAGGGAACAAACCTTCAGTAGAAATGATAAATCCGATGCCACTTCAACTTGATCTCCTGAAATGTTCCCAGCAAGCTTATGAGCCATCTTCTAGTAATTACGGTCTCTCGCACATCAGGCACAAGCACTGTATCTAGCTAAGGAGGAGGGCCTTTCTCTTGGGCACGAAAGACAATAAGCTCCATCGACCTCCTGGCGCCCAGGCCCAATTTGTTACACACAATGTATTCAACAGAAATACATTAAGTTGGAGACCATTAGATACATTTTTTTGTTTTTTCATATTTCCAAGAAGTCAGTCATATTTCCAAGAAGTCAGCGACTGTCGGCACTTTCGGTTTTCACTCTTTCATTACTTTGGATATCTATTTGCAGGTTAACACAAAATAACATTTAGTATAATCTTTAAATTGCAGAGTGTTTCTGTGTGAAAGTCCTGCCCAGCATTATAGAATTATGCTACATTGTCCCACCATATAAAGAGTCTCTTTTTTATGGGTGGTATAAGAGTAACAGTCATGCAGAAGACAACAAAACATTGCTCATGACCAGCCTGAATGAAGGTGCACTGAAATCATTCAAATTAGACAAACGGCTCGATAGAAATCACATTTCTTCATCAGTTTCACCATTCATTTACACTTAATTATGTTTTATTTTTTTCAGAATGTCTCATGAACTCTTAACCATTCTCTGTCACAAAAGCAACTTGTTATAGTTTTATAAAATAACAAGAATATTCATCATTCATAAACAATTATTCATAACTCATATTCAGAAATAAAATGTTTGTCCTAAATTCTTTCAGTATTGTTTTGACAGTTATTCTCTCACAGATGACACTGATCATAATATACTGAAATAAAATTAAATTAAATAATTTTTTCCTTACTAAAATGTTTTTCATAAATTCCTTCAGTTTGATAAGGGAAAAATGGGAAGGCTAATGTTTTGTCATGCTTTGTATGGCAGTCAAACGAGCTGCCGTTGGCTAGTATTTGTGATAAACTTCTCTACCCGAATCTACATTATCTGATACACAATGCCTTCTCTCATCGCACTACTGACTTTATAGTTCATTCTTGAGAAACACTTTACTTTACTGCCATTTATATTATATATACACACAAGTCTACAAACTGCTGCCAATTCATTCATCTTTCAAGTTGCTGTTATGGAAAAATATACTATGGGGAAGTCAATGGGGACCAGAAACTGTTTGGTTACCCACATTCTTAAAAATATATTTTATGTTTAAAAGAAGAAAGAAAGAAATTCAAACAGGTTTGGAACAACTTGAGGGTGAGTAAATGAATTTTCATTTTTGGGTGAACTTTCTCTTTATGTTTGAGCCTTAAAAAGTAAAAAAAAAAAGAGTAAATTACAATAAAGAGATTTTTGTGAAAGCATATACCGAACAAACATATATGAGAACCATCTTTGCATTCCTTGCACCCACCTCTATTGTTCAGTTTGATGTTCATGGGTAGCTGGGTTGCCATGGCGAAGAGATTCTGCTGTAATGCATGTTGCATTATTCTCTGCTGCTCCTCTGCCATCAACATCACTTTCTTCTCCGGTGGCTCTCCAGACTCCAGCTTCTCCCGGAGCTGCTCCAATGCGGCCGCCTGCACAGCTGCTGCAGCTGCAGCCTGAGCCGCAGCCGCCTGAGCTGCACTGTGGTGGCTGGCCAAAGACACAGGGATGCCAACCCTGTTAGTCAGGCAGCTGGACAGCATGGAGTCCTCTGTGGAGCAAGAAAGCATCATGAAGTCTGTGTGTAAGGCAGTACTACAGTAACTTTTTTTAGGTGACAGAACACTTTAACAACAAAACAAAAATATTGGACCATCTAACATCCCAAATCTTGGAAAAACTGTCAACTTTAAACAATTTCCTACTATTTTAAGTAGTGGACAATTTACCCATAGTTTATGCTTAATTTTGCAACACAGAACACTTACAAACAGTAAAGCAAAACAGCATAACATGAAAACAGAAGCCCTTTATCACAAATGAATGTAACACAATCTTTAAAATTATGACTTACTCATTGTTATGAGTTGATTAATTTAAATTTTTTTTCTTCATATTTTTGAATAAAAACTGAAATATTATGAAATATTATTATAATACAAAAAAGAACTGTTTGATTTTAATACATTGTAAAATGTCATTTAATCCTGTGATGGCAAAACTGAATTTTCAGCAGTCATTACTCTAGTCTTCAGTCAGTATCACATGATCCTTCAGCAACCATTCTAAAATGCTGAACTGCTGTTCAAGAAACATTTCTTATTATTATAAATGATGAGTAATAATTTTTGATGACTAGAAAGTTCAAAAGAACAGCATTCATTTAAAATAGAAATATTTTGTACCATTATAAATGTCCTTACTATCACTTTTGATCAATTTAACGCATCCTTCCTGAATAAAAACATTTATTTCTTAAAAAAAAAAAAAATCTCACTCACCCCAAATTGTTGAACATTTTGAACGGTTAGTGTATTTTTTTCTTTTTTTATATTTTATTTTACTTATCTGACATTAGTTTTAATACTGTGGACCTGATTCACTTAAAATCAACATTTTAAAATCAAAATTTTATATTGTAAAATGGTTTTGCAAATGAAAAGGAAGTTATTCAATAATCTGAATGCAGCATTTTATTCAACAAATTTAGGTTTAGCAATATGCTGCAACAACATCCTCACAGGGAAGTATGAGTATGAAACACAAGTCATGACATCTATTTAAAGCTGCTTCGTAAACACTATAAATACTGTCAGATTCGTAAGGCTCTTTGATCCTTAAAGTTGCGTGACTTGTCTTTTTCCATATGGGCACATTACTGAATCATGAAGCAGCCCATGTCTCTTTGTGTTTCATTGCTCCTGCTGCTGTGATGCGGAAACTGGCAGAGTGGGCAAGAGGAAGTCTTGCAAGCTGTTTCCTGTCTGCTCTGATGACCATTCAGGCCACTGCGTGGAATAAGCGTGAGTAAGATGTGGCAGTGTTATTGTGTAAGAGAGATAACTTCTTCTTTGGAGGATCTAGGTTGTAATTAACATGATCTGAAATAACATTCAATTTCCTGATAAGGAATAACACTTTTCTTTCGCTTTCTTTTCAAAAATCAACCATCAATAGAATGCTTATACATAATTACATTTTCATTTTTATTATTTTATCTATTTCTCATTGTAGTCTATTTTATTTTATCGATACAGCAAAGAATTATTGCGCAAAGGAGGTAAAATGTTGTATGTTCAGCTGTGTATTAATATTTAAGTATTTTAACATTGATTTTTTTAAGTAGTTCCAGAAATAGGTTGTGACAAAGGGAAATACAAACACAAACCTTTCTTGATAACAGTGGTCTGAGTCATGTGCCCACCGTTAGGAGTGGGCATGCTAATGTGGGGCATCTGGAGTTTGGGGGAAGCCAGCAGTGTGGGGGTTCCCATGGGGGAGTAGCTGAAGAGGGTGGAGCCATAACTCTGTCTCCGCCCTTCACGACGGTTGCTGTCGATAGCTGCCTGAAGCTCACCGGGAGAGCTCAGTCCCCGCTTTTCACATTCATATGGATAGAGGTACTTCATATACCTGTAGACAAGAAAGGACAGAACGTGAAGCTACACCTAAATATCAAACCAAGTGGCATCTTCAAATAAAAGCTCAGGATCTTTACTCAGAACAAACTTCACGTTTCTGAGACATTTTTTAAATGACTTTTGATCAGAAGATCTCAAAGTGATTGTTATGTATGAACAGGGGCGTAATTTCCACTGGGGACAGGGGGGACATGTCCCCACCACTTTTCAAAATCACGTTTGTGTCTCCCCACTTTCAAATTCGTTTGTTATGATTTTTTTAACCGCACGCCGTCATCGCCACGGAGGAGCAGGACCGAGCAGAACACAGACGTACACGTCCACGTCCAGGAACGTCGTGTGCACACTCTAAAAATAGCTCACTGAAAGTTTTAATGAGCAGGTATTGTGGTTGCGGCACAGTCTGCGATGAAAAATTGAGTCTCACATTATTTAAACATTATTCAAAACATTAATGGTGAACATTTTACTGGATTTTGTATCACCATAGTCCCTAAATGTATGTACATGCAGGAAATGGGATTCAAATCGAAAACCTTTTCCCCCATTTTGTGCCCTCCCCCCCACTTCTCAAACCAAAGTTACACCCTTGTGTATGAAGTTCACGCAGGTGTCGTAACCACTGGTGTAGTTCAACCACTGACAGTTGGCAGCTCATTTTGAACTGTACATCTATTGTTTTAACCCTATCATATATTTAATGAATTTTTCAAAACTATGTCAGAGAGTGACTCTGCGTCTCATTCAGAGCTTCTGCTGTTTGTTTTGTTCAGGCATGTAGTATAATTTCACAAAGCTAGTCAGAACATTCTGTTTTTGCTTCAAATTGAAAAAGTTTTTTTTTTTTACCCAGTCATTTAAAAATAACACATTTTAGTGCTGTAACGACAATACCGTGACACCGTGAAACCGTGATATTTTTGCTTAAGGTTATCATACCGTCAAAATCTCATACCGGCCCATGCCTATAAGAGAGCATTGTTCACAAGTTTCTGCATTAACCTAACTAGGGCACAGCTTCAAACTCTGGGTCAAAAATGGGTTGCTAGGATGATTTTAGGAAAATAAATATCTAAGATACATTAAAAATAACAAAATTTGTTTTCATAAAAATAAAATTCAATCATAGTATGGGTATAAATATGCGAAAAATATCTGACTTAAATATGTAACAGTTTTAATTAAACATGCATATAAACACTTTGTGCTTTCGAATTATGTCTTACTCTTATCTGTATGATCAAAAATGATGTATTTTATGTTTCAGCTGTTCAATCGTGCCGGCGCCTGGCACACTCACACAGACACACACACACACCACATATTCGCAAATCAAACTTGACATCGCAGTCTGTTCATTATCAAAATAAAATACAGTCAACCAAAAATATAAAAGGTTACACTGGTCAATTTAAATAGTCCGTGGTATAACTGGTCCAATTTGTATGCCAAGCACATTTTTGCTCATGTGAAGAGGATATTTCTGTCGATATACGAACGCGCGTAAAGTACAAAGCCTCTACATTATAAATAATAGTTTCATTCAAATACAT